CAGTCTTGCTTATACACTGAAGGCCTAAAAATCAGCAATAGGCCTAAGTCAGCCTGCTAACACAAAGTCTTGGGCCTCTGTGAAAAAACACTGACACAGATAGCTATAAGATATTGTAAACAGGCAGCTTTGGTGGAAAATTTCCAGCCTGGATAAGAACAAGTAGTCCTAGGTCTTGTGGATAGTCATAGACCTTGGGTAGCTTTGGTGGATAGTACCAACTTAGATAAGGACAAGTGAATCAGTCATAGGAAGAGTCATAGTGACCTGTACCCTGAACCTTCACCCAGCCAATATCCTATTCTGGAAGATATCTGTACTCCCCCTGAATACCTACGCTCCTGTGTCGTCCCTTTCCCCACATCCTGCCTTTTTGTGTTTATAACCCCTGTGTGAAAAAGCAAAAACTATGGTTTGATCAGCCTATAGACAAGCCATCTTTCTTTGCATTTGTCTGTGTCCCCCATCCTCTCCTTCAGGTGATCTCCCGGACCCCTGCTTACTGCTCTGCTGGATGGGGCAACCCCTAAAATGTCCTTTAGTTTGAGTTTACTTTCTACATATTACTTCCCACAGTCTTCCTTCCCTTTTTCTCCCTCACTTGGTCCTACCATTCCAGACTATTGCATCTATTCACAAATATATATGTTCTAGTTGCATTTCCTAATGAGATCTATCTGTTCCCTTTAGTCCTTTCCATTACTCCATATACACCTTCTGTGGCTGCATGGATTGTAGCTTGTTTATCATTCACTTAACATCTAATATCCACGTAAAAGTGAATACATACCACATTTGTCTCTCTGTGTCTGGGACATTTCACTCAGGATGACTTTTTTCTAGTTCCATCTATTAGCCTATAAATTTCATAATATAATTGTTTTTAATAGCTGAATAACACCTAATTGTGTAAGTGTATCACATTCTTTATCAATTCTTCTGTTAAGGGACATCTAGGTTGCTTCCAATTTCTGGCTGTTAGGAATAGAGCAGAAATCAACATAGTTGAGTAAATGTCTCTGATGAAGCATTGTTTGGGTACATGGTCAGGAGTGGTATCTTAGATAGGGATTGTATTGCTATGAAGAAACACCATGACCACAACAACTCCTATAAGGGAAAACATTTAATTTGAGATAGCTCATAGTTCAGAAGCTTAGTCCATTATCATCATGGTGGAGAGCATGGCAGTGTGTAGGTAGTATGATGCTGGGAAAGGAGCTGAGAGTTCTACATCTGAATTAGCATGTAGCAGGAAGAGAACTGAGACACACTCCTCAAACAATTGAACATCTACAACAAGACAATACTCTCAATATGTGTTACTCCCTATGAGCCTATGAGGGCTATTTTTTCAACCAACACAGGTGTTATATCTTAATCTTGAAGTAGATTGGTTCCCATCTTCCTGAGGAACTACTCCACTAATTTCCACAGTGGCATGGGCCCAGGTGAGCCAACCTCAAGGGTGTGAGTGTGGATGAGCTGGCCCTACCCCTCACTGGCTGCAGCACTCAATGAACATTTTTAAAATGTTTTATTGATTCTTTGTGAATTTCACATTATCCACCCCAGTCCTGCTCATCTCTTCATCCCCTCATATCTGTCCTTCACATTTCCAACCTGCTCCCCCCAAGAAAGGCACACACACACACACACACACACACACACACACACACACACACACACAAAGCCAACCAACCAACCAACCAACCAACCAACCAGCCAGCCAGCCAGCCAGCCAGCCAACCAACCAACCAACCAACCAACCAATCAAAACACCCAAAGTATAGAAAATATCCTATAGTGAAAGCTGTTATATGTCACAGTGTGTTCCAAAATATACCCCTACGTCTATACATGTTCACTTGCAAATGTTTATTACAATGATCATTGTTCTGGTTCAAGATCTGGCTTCTGTGATAATCTCAACATTGGATCCTCACCAGACTCCTACATGTTATTCTGTTGTTGCCTTGTGTCACTGAGATCCTGCAGCTTTGGATCAATAGGACTGGCCCTTTCATGAGTCCCAACAGATCATAGATGATAATAGATTTTGGGATGGGCCAACTCAGAGACCTGGATCTGGATCTAGTTGGTAGCTGAGCTGGTCAGTGCACCAGCTGTCCTTTACTGGTACCACCAGTGTGAGGTCTCCAGTACTGCTCTGGGTAACCCACCCAATGCTGCCGTCAGCAAGAGGCAGGGTCAGTTCTTCTGCTCTCCTTGTGGTGGTTCACCTTCACACATGCCTCTATGGTCAGCTCCACTATGCTGCCCAGTCAAGGTACAGGATCCACTGTCCAAAGTGCTGCTGTCTTTGAGAGGCTGGGTTAGCTCTTACACCTCACATCCTTGGAGCTGGGTCAGCCATGCTTTCACCATCAGGACCAGCTCCATTGTGTTGCCCAGGTAAGGTACAAAGCCCATTCTTCCAAGTGATAAACCAGAGAGGGGGCAGGGCTAGATCTCCTGCTCTCATGCACTGGGGACAGCTCTCCAGACTAGTGCAGGTGGCAAGGGTGGGGAGGGTATCACCAATGCCACCTCACTTCAGGTAGGTGGTGGGGCCATCTCTCCTGTGCTCTAGCACTCAGTGCCACACACCTGCTCTCCCTCTACTAGGACCAGCTCTAATGTGCTGCGCTGAAGGGCAAGTGGGTGATGGTGAACAGTCTTTAAGTGTTTCTCAGCCATGTACATTTCCTCTACTGATAATTCTCTATTTAGATTTATACCTCATTTTAATGGGGTTATCCATTTTCTTGATATCTGGCTTCTTCAGTCCTTGATATACTTTGGATATTAGTCCTCTATAAGATGTATAGTTTAATTAAGTCCCATTTATTGATCCTAGTGCCTGTGCTAATGGCGTTCCGCTTAGAAAGTCTTCCTGTGCCAATAAATTCAAGGCTATGCCATTCTTTCTCTTCTATCTGGTTTTAAGTTGAGATTTTTGATTCATTTGGAGATGAGTTTTGTGCAGGGTATGGATCTATTTGTATTCTTTTACATGCAGCCATCTAGTTTGGCAAGAATCTTTTATTGATTATGCTGTCTTTCTTCCAGCATGTGTTTCTGACCTAATTATGAAAAATCAGATGTCCATATAGCTGTGTGGATTTGTATGAGCCTTCAATTTGATTCTACTGATCAATGTTTTTGTTTTTATGTCAGCATCACACTGTTTATATCACTGTATGTCCATAGTACAACCTGATATCAGGGATGGTGATACCTTCAGAAATGTTTTTATTATGCAGGGTTGTTTTAGCTATCCTGTTTTGTTTGTTTGTTGGTGTGTATATACGTGTGTGCTTCCATCTGAAGCTAAAAATTGTCCTTTTAAGATCTGTGAAGTATTGTATTGGAATTTTGATGGAGAATGGCATTAAATCCATACATTCTTTTGGATAAGATGCCCATTTTATTATGTTAATCCTATTAATCCATGAGGGTGGAAGACCTTTTCATCTGTCACTTTCTTCAATTTCTTTCTTCATTGATTTTCTTTTGGTTGGTTATTTTATTTATTTACATTTCAAATATTGTCCCCCTTCTGTCTTTCCTCCACAAACCCCCATTCCATCCTCCCTCCTCTTTGCCTCTAAGAGGGTGCTTCCCCACTCACCCACCCACTCCCACCTCAACCCTCTAGCATCTCCCTACACTGGGGCATCAAACCTTCACAGGACCAAGGGCCTTCCACCTTGATGCCAGATAAGGCAATCCTCTGCTGCATATGTAGCTGGAGCTATGGGCCCATCCATGTATATTCTTTGGTTGGTGGATTAGACCCTGGAGCTCTGGTGTGTTTGGTTGATATTGTTGTTCTTCCTATGGGGTTGCAATCCCCTTCTGCTCCTTCAGTCCTTCCCCTAACTCTTCTATTGGGGTCTCCATGCTCAGTCCGATGGGTGGCTGTGAGTATCTGCATCTGTCTTAGTCAGGTGCTGGCAGAGCCTCTCAGAGGAGAGCTATATCAGGCTCCTGTCAGAAAACACTTCTTGGCATCAGCAATAGTGTTGAGGTTTTGTATCTGCAGATGAGATGGGTCCCAAGGTGGGGTGGTCTCTGGATGGGCCTTTCTTCAGACTCTACTCCATTTTTTGTTCTGCAGTTTCTTTAAAAAAGGCACAGCTCTGGGTTAAAAATTTGAGATGAATGGGTGGCCCCATCCCTTAACTGGGGTTCTTGCTTATCTACTGGAGGCCCTATCCCTCAACTGGAGGTAGTCTCTACAGGTTCTATCTCCCCTCTGTTAGATATTTCAGCTAATGTCATCCCCACTGGGTCCTGGGAACTTCTCATTTCCCTGGTGTCTGAGACTTTCTAGTGATTTCCTCCCACCCCCATTCTCAAATGCCCACTGCTACATATTTCTGTCCATTTTCCTGAACCTCTAGACTTCTCTCCTGTCTCTTCTCATACCTGACCCTGCCCCCCATTTTTCTTCCTCTGTCTCTCTCCCTTCCAGGCACCTCCCTCCCTCTACCTTCTGTGATTATTTTGTTCCCCCTTCTAAGTAGGATTGAAACATCCAAATTTTGGTCTTCCTTTTTGTTAAGCTTCATATGGTCTGTGAGTTGTATTATGGGTGGTCTGAGATTTTGGGCTAATATCCACTTATCACTGAGTACATACCATGTGTGTCTTTTGTGTTATACCTCACTCATATATTTTCTAGTTCTAACTATTTGCCTGCAAATTTCATGACATCATTGTTTTTAGTAGCTGAGTAGTACTCCATTTAATGTAAATGTACCACATTTTCTGTATCCATTCTTATGTTGCAAGACATCTGGGTTGTTTCTAGCTTCTGGCTACTACAAATGAGTCTGCTATGTGTCCTTGCTATATGTTGGAGCATCTTGGGGACATTTCCAGTAGTGGTATAGCTGAGTCTTCAGGTAGAACTATTTCCAATTTTCTGAGGAACCATCAGGTTGTTTTCCAAAGTGGTTTTACCAGATTGCAATGGAGCAATGGAGGAGTGTGAAAATATGAAATGCTTCATGACTTTGTCTGTTATCCTTGTGCAGAGGCCATACTAATCTCTGTATCATTCCAATTTTTAGTATATGTGCTGCTGAATGGAGCACAATTTTTTTCTTAATCAATAAAGACTTCACTTGCTTGGTAAGGGATGCTCCAGGATATTTTATATTATTTGAGGCAATTGTGAAAGGTGTTTCCCTTATTTCTTTATCTGTCCATTTCTTATTTGTATATAGCAGGGGTACTAATTTTTGTGAGTTGATTTTGTATCAGGTTACTTTACTGAAAGTGTTTATTAGCTGTAGGAAGTTACCAGTGGAATTTTTGTGGTCACTTATGTATCATTTGCAAATAAAGGTACTTTCACGTTTTCCTTTCCAATTTGCATTCTCCTAATCTCCTTCATTTGTTTTGTTGTTCTAGCTAATACTTCTAGTACTGTGCTGAATGGGTATGGAGATAATGAACAACTTGGTATTGCTTCTGATTTTAGTAGAATTGCTTTGTGTTCCTCGCCATTTAAAGTTATCTATGGGTTTACTGTAAAGTGTCTTTATTGTGTTGTAACATTTCCCTTGTATCCCTAATTTCTCCAGGACTTTTGTGATGGAATCTTGGATTTGTCAAAGGCCATTTCTACCATTTAATGAGATGATCATGTGGTCGTTTCTTGTCTTTCAGTTTGTTTACATGGTGGGTTAAATTTATTGATTTATATATGGTGAATCATCCTTACATCTCTGGGATGAAGACTACTTGATCATGATGAATGATCTTTTTAATATGTTCTTTAATTCAGTTTGCAAGCATTTAATTGAATATTTTTGCTTCTTTACTCTGAAGGTATATTGGTCTCTAATAGTCTTTCTTGGTTGGGTCTTTATGTGGTTTGGGGATCAGGATAATGGGAGCCTCATAAAATGAATTGGCAATGCTCTTTCTGTTTCTCTTTGGTGGAATAAGTTGATTAGTATTAATATTATGGATGGATTTAACTTGGGTATGTGGTCTGTATCAAGGAAATTATCCATTTCTTTTAGACTTTCCAATTTGGTGGAGTTTAGTTTTATTTAACTTTAATTTAATTTTTTTTTACTTATTCACTTTACAGCCTGATCACTGCCCCACAATTCTTCCCTCACTTCTCCTCCCCTTTACCTCTGATTGGGTGGAGGGCCCCCTGGGCATTCCCCTCACCCTGGCACTTCAAGTCTCTGCAAGGCTAGGTACTTCTTCTCCAGCTGAGGACAGACAAGGCACCACAGCCAGTAGAACATATCCCAGGCACAGGCAACTGCTTTTGGGATAGCCACAATTCAATTTGTTTGGGACCCACATAAAGGCCAAACTGCACATCTGCTATATATGAGCCAGGAGGTCTAGATCCAGGTCATGTATGTTCTTTGTTTGTTAGGTCAGACTCTGATAGCTCCAAGGGTTTAGGTTAGTTGACTTTGTTGGTTTTCCTGTTAAGTTCCTAGCCCTACTTCCTCCTATTATTTTTTTCATTTTTATTAGATATTTTATTTATTTACATTTCAGATGTTATCCCCTTTCCCCATCACCCCCATTAATCCCCTATCCCATCCCCCTCCTCCTTTCTTGCCTTTATACCATTTTAATTACATGCAAGTATTAAGGTGAGTTCTAGGCTGAGGAACTTGCAATACAATAGATGCAAATAGTCAAGGAACAAGCAAGACAATAAACCCAGATAGTCAAAGAACACACATGACAGTAAACAGAGTCCCATGATCACTCCTGTGATAATTATTTCTAAGGGCTTATCAGGATGACCAAAATATCAGAGCCTACTTCCCTGTCCTAGCCCAAAGTCATTTTTCATGCCTGAAGCCTACTTCTTTATTCTAGCTTAAGATTTAGATTTCTGCCTATAATTACTTTTTTGTTCTAGCCTAAGATTTAGATTCCTGCCTGAAATTTCCTCTTTGTTCTAGCCTAGGATTTATATTTCTGCCTGAAATTACTTCTTTGTTCCAGCCTAATGTCAGATTCCTGCCTGCAGTCCATTTCCTTGTTCTTGGCCTGTGTCAGATTCCTTTGAAGCAGCCCATTTCCTTGTCCTTGGCTAATGTCAGATTCCTGTCAGGCAGCCCCCAAAGCTTTCCACATCTCCCCATTTTTATTGCATAAACCAGAATGAGCCTGTCTTAGGTTATTCAGAAAAGAAAGCCGTCCTTTATGCATTATCATAAGCAATGCACTTCTGTCTTAGGTTGCTCAGACTCTGTGCAGAATCTTACCCATCCTTGGCTTGCCAGCCTGTTACACTAATAACTCTGTCTGGGGGTCCATTTTCAGTTTCAAGTCATGTACTTTGGCTGCCATCCTGTTGATGTGGTTAGAGACAAGCTTTAACACTATGGGCAGGAATAAAAGTATTCTCAGGACAAGAAGGGCTACCATGATCAAGTTGTATATGCCATTCTTGAGGTTTGGCCAAAATGGAAATACTGACCTCAGGCCATGGATAATTTTATCAGCATTATCTGTAGCATCAAAAACTCAACAGAGCAGCATTCTTTAAATTTATAATCTCACTATGCAGAGTTAAAACACCCATAGAGATGTTAGGATTATACCAAATACCCTACAGATGTCTTTAAAGGTTTTTTCTAATTATAATGACAATCATTGTAAATTTTAGAAGTAACAGTACTCCAATGATATGTCATGACACTTGAGATGGCTCCTAACTCTTGAAGCCTGAACCTCCTTCAGATAATTTCAATAGGATATAGAGCATCAATCCATTGTTTCAAACACCTATATAAATCCTTTTGTACTCAATACATTAGTAACATTTTTTTTTTTTGGCTAGACAGTTAACAAAAATAGCTGTCTTAACTCCTTGTGTTAAAGCTATTGCAGAAGCAGTGGTGCTAGCAATTAATGAAATTAAAGCTGTTATATCAGCAATAATTAAACCCGCTACCCTCTTGCTTCTGCTTAAAGCCTAACTTACTTCTTCCAGCACTTTCAAGCTTTTTTTCCCCAGAGAATCAAGGTTTTCTAATACTCAGGCAGTAAGACAAAAGTTGGTTGATAGACCCCCATAACAGACATGCCAGGTTTAAACACAGTAACACAATTAGAAAGTATACAGTCAATGCAGCTTACAATAAATACTATAGAAGAGACAAAACTAATTTCAGCTTGACAATTAAAAGAGCTTTAAAACATGCACTAACCCTTGTTTGAAGTCCAGATCCTGTCTCAGCTTTATCTCTTGGTATCATATATCATCATAGAGAACTGCAGCTAACTCCCAAATATGTCTCTGAAAATGTCCAGATCCAGCCTTCCAAATGAAGACTGTTATTTTCAATACCAATATTGGATTGATTTCTAGACCAGTGCAAGATTGAGTCTGAATAGCTGGTCACCTTTAAGAAAAATACAAGAGACAGTATAATTTCTCTTTTTGATTCTTTGTCACACAAGGTCTGAAAACTTGAGGCAAGGCAGCTTGTCCCATCTGGGATATAGCTAAGCAAAGGTGGGTCAGGAACATATGTCCAATACAGCTTCCCAGTCACCCTTGTCAGGGCACTCAGCAAGCTCACAGGTCAGCGTCATTCTTTGTCTCAGCAACAGCATGTCTCACCAATCATTCTGGCAGCCATCATGTTCCTATAGAATCTTACAGAAAAAACACAAATATGCCCTCTTCCCCATATTAGATACCTGGTCAAGATCATGCCATATGCCTGTAAGTGGATCCTTCCTTTTCATCTAGGCATAAGTGTGCTTAGTTGAAGGGTGCTGTAGACACTAAGCAGAAAGTTCCTTGGCATCCAATTTTTTTAAAATTTAAAATAAAAAAGTATGATTTAAATAAATTTATGGTGTTCAGGTATATACCTTCCCCTTGTTTATTTTATGAAGATATTGTTTTGAAGTTCCATGGGCTTCTTCTACAATACCTTGTCCTCGAGGATTATAGGGAATCCTTGTAATAAATTGTTAACAAAAAGTCTCAACTGCTTGACTACAATTGCCAGATCCATTTTCTGTTTTTTTTTAAACTGGATATTTTATTTATTTACGTTTCAAATGTTATCACCTCTTGCATTCCCCCAAACCCCCTTATCCCATCCCCTCTCCTTTTACCTCTATGAGGGTATGCCCCAACCCATCCAGCAGTTCCTGCCTCCCTGCTTTCAAATTCCCCAATACTAGGGCATCCAGACATTCAGGGACCAAGGCCCTCCCCTTCCACTGATGCCTGACAAGGCTATCCTCAACTACCTATACAGGTGGAGCCATCAGTCCCGCCCTTTGTGTTCCCAGGCTGGAGGTTTAGACCCTGGGAGCTCTGGTTGAGTATTTTGTTACTCCTTCTAAGAAGGACCAAAGTACCCACACTTTGGTCTTCCTTCTTTTTCTTGAGCTTCATGTGGTCTACGTATTGTACCTTAGGTATTGTGAGCTTTTGGGCTAATAACCACTTATCAGTAAGTGCATAGCATGTGTGTTCTTTTGTGATTGGGTTACCTCACTCAAGATGTTATTTTCCAGTTCCATCCATTTGCCTAAGAATTTCATGAACTCATTGTTTTTAATAGCAGAAAAACACTCAGCAGAAAGTACCTTGGCATCCAATTTTTTTAAATTTAAAATTAAGAGTATTATTTAAATAAATTTGTGGTGTTCGGGTATATACCTCCCCCTTTTTATTTTATGAAGATATTGTTTCAAAGTTCCATGGGCTGCTTCTACAATACCTTCACATAAAATCAGATACACTGAAACTAATAGAAGAAAAAATGGGGAAAAGACTCGAACACATGGGCACAGTACTCCATTGTGTAAAATGTACCACATTTTCTGTATTTATTCCTCTGTTGAAGGACATCTGGGTTCTTCCCAGCTTCTGGCTATTATAAATAAGACTGCTATGAACATAGTGGAGCATGTGTCCCTGTTGTATGTTGGAGCATCTTTTGGGTATGTGCCCAGGAGTGGTATAGCTGGTTCCTCAGGTAATACTATGTTCAATCATGTTCCGAGGAACTGCCAGACTGTTTCCACAGTGATTGTACCAGCTTACAATCCCACCAACAATGGAGGAGTGTTTCTC